AGGCTTGCACCTGGCATGGGCACCGTAGCCAGCCTGTGCCCCTTTAAGGGCTCCGGGGCCGGGAGGGGGGCAATAGAGTTTCCCTGGTGTTGGCCAGAGTGGCCACCAGGGAAAGCTGGGAAGGGCTAGCCTCCCACTAGTTCAAATTAAGGGGCTACACACCCCTTAATTCGAACTAGTAAGTTCGAACTAGGCTTAGTCCTCGTAGAATGAGGTTTACCTAATTCGAACTAAGCGCTCCGCTAGTTCGAATTAAGTTCGAACTAGCGGAGCGCTTGTGTAGCACCTATCAAAGTTAATTCAAACTAACATCCATTAGTTCAAATTAACTTTGTAGTGTAGACATACCCAAGGAGTGAAAATAGACTTTCCCTATAAAGGCTGCTCCAGCATGGGATGGGCCTGGAACCCTGGAACTAAGAGCAGGTACCTGACTCTTCTGTCAGTGATGACTCTCAGCCCCTTTGCACCCTGAGAGCATAGAGGAAGAAGCTATTTGACTCAAAAAACAAACAAATTATACACAAAGAATCTACATTAAATGAATATTCAAAGGTTCAATGGAAAACATTTGAAAGTAAGAATTAAGGCTGCCTGTGACACGTATTAACTTAAAACAAATTCATTAGCTAACAAGCATATTTTTTTTATTGCTGCAGTCAGTGCAGGTAGAGTGATGCAGTGACTTGTATCCACCAGCAAGTTTCTTCTACATCAAATATCAAGTCCTAGAAATGCCACTGACAAGCAGGAATAAAAGGACATACTAAGGTACAATGGAACATATCTGCCATGAAAAATCTGAAATACCTGAGGCTAATTTCAAGTCAACATCTGTGACACTTTGGCAACTTTTATAGAAAGCCAGAGAATTTGTAGGAAAATAAAGCAGGTAAATTACCCCGCAATGATTACCCCGTAATTGATTTTAAGATCTACTAATCCAAGGTTCACAACTAACAATATTAACTTAAAACAAATTCATAAGCTAACAAGCATATTTTTTTATTGCTGCAGTCAGTGCTGGTAGAGTGATGCAGTGACTTGTATCCACCAGCAAATTTCTTCTACATCAAATATCAAGTCCTAGAAATGCCACTGACAAGCAGGAATAAAAGGACATACTAAGGTACAATGGAACATATCTGCCATGAAAAATCTGAAATACCTGAGGCTAATTTCAAGTCAACATCTGTGACACTTTGGCAACTTTTATAGAAAGCCAGAGAATTTGTAGGAAAATAAAGCAGGTAAATTACCCCGCAATGGTAATTGATTTTAAGATCTACTAATCCAAGGTTCACAACTAACAGTATTTATTAGACATTAGTCTAAAAACTAATGTAAGTAGCCATCTGTGGGAAACAGTTACCATTTTCAATTGTTAAGTGTTCGGAAAGGCTGGACATACTTTTGATTTACACAGCATCCTGAACAAAAGAGTTTGGAGTAATATTGTTTAATTAAGCTTTTACCCCTTGCTTTGGATCTGTGTGGAGTCCTCCACCTGCATGACCATGCCAACATGTTCTCTTATCTATCAGTGGCCACCTCTGGAAAGTCTGTGTGAAAAATAAATATCAGTTATATAGCAACTTCAGGAATCATGTACTTAAAATCATGAACAAAAACCTTAAATTCTGAATTAACATGACAATCAGAATAGAACTGAAGATCTAGTAGCACAATGCTACCACCATGAGGAATGGAGATTATGTCTCAAGAACAATACCTTGCCCCTGAAGTTGGCATCAGAAGGAATTGACTTAACAGTTATACTTCAAAATACCTCACAGCAGAAACTGTTTAAGATTTCTAGAAAGAGGTCTTTAAATCCTTCAAGTCTATATCTACTCTGAATAATGACTTTGTAAAAATGGCACCTTCAAATGGCACCTTCTTGTTCAACAGACCTGCTTCCTGCGCACATGGCGCATACTACCTGCTGATCTTGGGTTTGTCTACACTTAAAAGTAGAAAGCACAACCCCAGCAGCGCTTTAAACTGAAAGTATGGCCACTGCAGGAGTGCTGAGAGAAAGATCTCCCAGCTCTCTATGTAAACCACCTCCACAAGAGTCCTGAAGCCTGGATCACACTGGCACTGTAACTTACTGCATTCAGGGAAAAAGAGGTGTTTTGCACATCCCTGAGCCAGAAAGTTACAGTGCTGTGAAGAGCCAATGTTGACTTAGCCTTAGAGACAAAGGTATGTTTTAATGCTTTCAATTAAACCTTAATTCTGTTGACCTTGCCAAGATCTTGTTAGACACATAAAGCTTGGTAGATTTAACTAAGGTCTACTTAAAAAAAAAAAGTGTAATTAAACTAAGGATATTAAGAAGTGGGTAACTGACTAATCGTGTAATTGATACAGTTTGTATGGAGTACACAATCAGTCAATAAGGTGCAGCTCTGCAGTTTAAATGTAGTAGGAGCTGGGCACAGCCAACTTCTGCTACATTTAAGCTGCAGAGTGCAGTAAGGGTAGACCCGTGACCCCAGTGCAAATTTTGCATCTAGACAAGGTTTAATAGAGAGTGAAGTACATTTTATTGTTTTATGTGCAAAATCAAACCTGTTAATCTACAGCTTTGGAAGCCTACTATGGTGAAAACAGGCATAACCAGGGTACCAAGACAATAGACAGTTATAATCGAGGTTCTACATCAGCCTGTACAACCTTAACTATTGGTGGTGATGCATAAGAAGGAAAGATTCAAGCTTGACATTCAGAACACAGGTGGCGTTTGCAGGGTTGGCAATTAGAAAAGTCACCCTTACTTGTAAACTGAGCAAATGTGTTACAGAAATCACTGAAAGACACAGAATGAATCCCAACATGTCATTAAAAAAGTCTCTTTTTACAGAGGTATAATAGAAGTAAAATAATCATAAACAGGTTACAAGTCTCAATGGCCATTGTTTAACTACACCATAAATTAAATTCATGAATTGCAATTTACTTATGTCCGATTAGCACATCTAACTGTCATCCGATTTATTTTTAGCTATACATACCTTTCCTTAATGGGTAAGAAAATGCATTTTTAAAAGGCAACTTTTAAAGCAGAACTGCGCTTTCAATAAAGTGCTTAAAATCACTGCAGTACACAGGAATGTGATCAATTTGGCAAGTATCATAATAATGACACAGAGCTTTACAAGTACTTCGAAGTACCGTGCAAAGCATTAACCCACAACACCTCTTTGACGTAGGTAAATATTACTATCCCCACTTCGCAGGTAGGAAAACTGAGTAGCGAGGTTAATTCACCTGCTCAAAGTCATGGAGAGACAGTGACAGAGATGGAACTGGGTATCAGTAACTTCTGAATTTTACTCTATTAGACCTTTCTTTTTAAAAAAAGGGTTTTTTTTTAAAAAAAACAAACCTACAATAGAACAGTTAAATTACAAAAATCATGCATCTGAAAGTGACTAAATGCCACATTTAAAGTTACGTATGAAACATTAATTCTGTCCCTTTGTTGTGTTCAATCTCTGCACAGAATGAGAATCATTCCAGTTGAAAAAATAATATTAATTACATATGTACAAGGGGGCATATAAATTGCATGAGCAACTCCAAGTAGTATTTCCAAATCTATGAATGCTTGAATTTGCAACCTAAATATGTTTAATACATTGAACGTCATTTCCTAAATGTTTAAACAAAGGTAGAAACAAGATACACAAAACTGCATACGTCTCCTCCTTATGCATTATCAAGGTTTGAATTAGAGATGTTAAAGACTAGTCAACGATCCAATAAGCAAATGCTTATCGGATAGTCTGTTGACTAGTCAATGCCCCACCCCTTTCTGCCTCTATGAGATAGAGGCAGCGGGGGAGAGTATTTCAAAGCGGCAGCGCTGCACAGCTGATCTGCAGATCAGCTGTGCAGTGATGCTGCCCCTTTAAAATGTCCAAAGGGCTATAGAGGCCGTGGTTAGATGGGGACTCATCAGTTGACTCCAGATTCCACGCGGAATTTCCCCATAACCTGTGGTCAGATGGGGACTCCCTTGCTGAGCCCAGGTTATGGAGAAATGCCACGTGGTGCCCAGGATCATCTGGGGACTCCCCAGCTGACCCTGGGCTCCACAGCTGCCCCTTTGAAATGCACGGAGGCAGCATTTCAAAGGGGCAGCCGCTGCACAGTGCTGCCCCTTTAAAACACCGTCTTGGCATTTCCCAGGTTCTGCTGAAATGCCCCAAAGAACCAGGGTCAGCTGATCCCGGGTTCTGCTGAAATGCCCCACAGAACCAGGGTCAGCTGGGCAGTCCCCAGCTGATCCCGAGTTCTGGCGACTCTTGTGCATTTCAAAACGCACCCGTGTGCAGCCTGGAGTCAGCGGGACTACCTGCTGGCACCGGGCTGTATGCTGAGTTCCGCATTCCTCCTTTGAAATGTACAAGTGCCTATCAACTAGTCAAGTAGTTGATGGAAATTCCATCCACTACTTGACTAGTCAATTAACCACATTTTAACATCCCTAGTTTGAATCCTGGGACTTCAACACGGTAGCATAGATTCCTACCACTTCAGTTACATCTGGTGCTTCCAAATAGGGAGACAGGAAGTAAGGGCCACATGCCAGGTCTGAGGAGTGCAGTTTGAATCAGTCAGCCTGGTCCAGACCTTTGCTGCTCCCAGACATTGCCAGTACAGTGTGTTCTGTGTTGCAGTGGCAGTGCAAGCCTGTTTTTTTTTTTTTTATATGGTGTTCAGTTATTTTAGCATACTGCCAAAATTTTCCTCATGAACAGAAGCGAGAAAAAGAAAATGATGATTTAAGTTTATAATTCAGCTACAATGCATGGAATTTCATAGGGCAATCAAGTCACTTTGAAGGCCTGGGCTGGACCCAGGCAACGCCAGGTAAGTCTTCTAATATAGTATAAAGAGAAGTAGCATGATCTAATATATTAGAATTCAGATGTCCCTCATTCACAGTTCCATTTCTGTTATTCACTTCTGTAAAATCAAAGGGTAACATTAAAAAAAAAAAGACCTAAGTCACAGAGGTGCTTTTAAATCCCACTGAACTGTACACATCTGGCTCTATTAATCTGTTTCCTTACTTCCTCGTGTGGGTATGGTAGTTTCAAGAATGCTTGGTGAAGATCTTGTAGGTGTTGGTCTCTGTCTGAGGGGTTGGAGCAAATGCAATTGTACCTCAGTGCTTGGCTGTAGAAAATGGATCGTGTGATGTGTCCAGGATGGAAGCTGGATGCATGAAGATAGGCATAGCTGTTGGTAGGTTTTTGGTATAGGGTGGTCCACTACACGGGAGGTCCACTTGGACCAGTCTACATGGGAGGTCCACTTCCTGGACCCCACGGTGCAAATAACTGATGGTCACATAAACACTACCCTATACCGAAAACCTACCGACCGCTATGCCTATCTTCATGCCTCCAGCTTCCATCCCGGACACACCACACGATCCATCGTCTATAGCCAAGCACAGAGGTACAACCGCATTTGCTCCAACCCCTCAGATAGAAACCAACACCTACAAGATCTTCACCAAGCATTCTTGAAACTATGATACCCACACGAGGAAGTAAGGAAATAGATTAACAGAGCCAGATGTGTACCCAGAAGCCTCCTGCTGCAGGACAAGCCCAAGAAAGAAACCAACAGAACACCAGTGGTAATCACCTAAAGTCCTCAGCTAAAACCTCTCCAACGCATCAGTAATGATCTACAACCCATCCTGGACAATGATCCCTCCCTTTCACAGGCCTTCAGAGGCAGGCCAATCCTTGCCCACTGACAACCTGCCAACCTGAAGCATATTCTCACCAGCAATATACACCGTACCATAGTAACTCTAACTCAGGAACCAATCCATGCAACAAACGGTTCAAACTCTGCCCACATATCTATACCAGCAGCACCATCACAGGACCTAACCAGATCAGCCACACCATCATGGGTTCATTCACCTGAATATCTATCAATGTAATATACGCCATCATGTGCCAATAATGCCCTTCTGCTATATACACATCAGCCAAACTGGACAGTACCTATGTAAAAGAATAAATGGACACAAATCAGATATTAGGAATGGCAATATACAAAAATCCTGTAGGAGAACACTTCAGTCTTCCTGGACACACAATTGTAGATCTAAAGGTAGCCATCCTGCAGCAAAAAAACTTCAAGAGCAGACTTCAAAGAGAAACTGCTGAGCTACAGATCATCTGCAAGTTTGACACCATCAGCTCTGGATTAAACAAAGACTGTGAATGGCTTGCTAACTACAAAAGCAGCTTCTCCTCTCTTGGTATTCACTTCTCCAGATCAGTTGATAGAAGTGGGCCTCATCCTCCCTGACTGAATTAACCTCATCATCTCTAGCCTGATTCTGGCCTGCATATTTATACCTGCCTCTGAATATTTCCACTACATGCATCTGACGAAGTGGGTCTTTGACCATGAAAGCTTATGCTCCTATACATCTATTAGTCTAGAAGGTGCTACAGGACTCCTTGTTGCTATTGAGGGAAATAACTGTAAAATTAAGACATGAGAATTTAGATAAATTTCCTAGCCTTACTTCATCCTATAGTTTCACATATTTCTCCATGTTGTTAGCAGATGAAGACTAAGAAAAACAACAACAAAAATATGTTTATATACAGAAATCAACCCTCAGACAGGTGAAAAACCTGGCATAATACTGTGCCATAGGTGTCAATACATTTTCAAAGTTTCTTTTTGTTCCACAAGCTAAGCATATTTTTGGAGTGATAAAGCTTTAGATACAGTAAAACTCCGATGGTCCGGCATCTGATGGTCCAGAACTCCTGATAGTCCGGCACCATCAGGAACCCGGAAGTGCTCCGGGCAGCCGGACCATTGGAGCTGCTCTGCCCCCAACTGTGCCATAGGTGTCAATACATTTTCAAAGTTTCTTTTTGTTCCACAAGCTAAGCATATTTTTGGAGTGATAAAGCTTTAGATACAGTAAAACTCCGATGGTCCGGCATCTGATGGTCCAGAACTCCTGATAGTCCGGCACCATCAGGAACCCGGAAGTGCTCCGGGCAGCCGGACCATTGGAGCTGCTCTGCCCCCAGCTTC